GGACCAAAATATTCTTTATAAAATTGCTCTAAAAGCAACTCGTTGGCTGATTCGCATTTAGTTACATTTCTTTAAAAAAATTCCTCTCAAACGCGGTGGCAACCAAGTTGCATCTTGACGCTTCCAACTTAAAAAATTCTCAAGAATTAACAAAATGTGGTATTAAAGTAAAAATCACCATAATCAAAGACCCAAGTATGCGCTATTAAATGGTTCTAAAACCAACTCTATAATAGGTTCCTATTTTAACTGACAATTTTTTGAAAAATCGCATGCAATAGTGATGGAAGCCAAACTACACCTAAAAGCATTCAACATGAAAATTCCGAATAAATAAGAAAAGGTGGGACGAATTTGAGAATTGCTGTAGTTATAAAGCAAAGTATTAATGTTCAAAATAGCTCTACAGCGGATCCATATTTCGAGTGCAAAATTTTCTAATAGTTTCCTCTAAACGCGGTCGTGGCCAAACTGCACTTTGAAGCATCCAACTTGAAAAATTCTGAAGAATTAAGGAAACGCGGGATTATAACGAAAATCACTGCAACAATAGACCGAAATATTCTCTATGAATTGGGCTCAAAATAATTTTATTTATAGTCCAAATTTCCAATAATGCATTTTGGAAAAGTCTATTCAGACGCGATCGCGATTGAGAAAAAAATTCTCAATAATTAAAAAAATGCGGAATTAAAACAAAAATCAGCGTATTAATATTCCATACAATTCCTTATTAATAGCTGCGAAAAATAGCTCTTTTGGCGGTCCCCATTTTGCGTGACAATTTTTTGAAAAGTCTCTGTTAAACACGGTTTTTGCCAAACTGCGTTTTGAAGCTTCCAACTAAAAAAATTCTTAAAAATTAACCAAATGCGGCATTAAAACGAAAATCACTGTAACCATAGACCGAATTATGTTCTATGAAATAGTGCTCAAAGTAACTTTATTCCTAGTCCAAATTTCCAATGACGGATTTTGGAAAAGTCTATTCAGACGCGATCGCATCCAAATTGGGCCTTAAAACTTCCAACTTAAAAAAATTCTCAATAATTAAAAAAGTGCGGAATTAAAACAAAAATCAGCGTATTCATATTCCACACTATTCATTATTAAAGGCTGCGAAAAGTAGCTCTTTTGACGGTCCTCATTTTGGGTGACAATTTTTTGAAAAGTCTCTGTTAAACACGGTTT